AAGGGGTGGAAGAAGGCAGGGAGGGGTCGACCGGACAGTATCCTCATCCATGTCCAAAACGATGTCTTGAATTCCCGTGCTAAGCGTATTAAGAACCACGTTGTTTTGAACGTTTGCTGAAATATGTTCTGGAATGGTATATTTGGCCCAGTTCCGTGAACCCTCCAGCAGGATGTGCATATTCTGGCACCGGGCGTTCTCGAGCATGATCTTCATCATGACGGGGCCTTGGATGGGGAGACTCTGGAATGGTATCTTTGCCCACTTCAGGGGTGCTCCCCAGGACAGTGGCAGAAAACGTTGGCGGTAATGTAGTGGACCTTGATGGGGTAGTTAGATGTAGAAAAAATCCGAGTGGTAGAAGCAGCCAGCGCTTGCCGTGGATCCCACTTGCCCCCCTTCGAAGTATCCTTTGCACCTCCTTTGATGTTATTCGCTGACCGGCTAACGATCCCATCGCAAGAGGATGTGAGTTCAGACAATTTAGGGTGATCGTTGATCACGTATTTCTTTCCACTGGCCCCAGTCTGCGTGCCAATCTTCCGTAACAGTATCTCTCTCGATGTTCAAGTTGAGGGCAAGTTGGCCCTTGACAGTGACGGTGTATGGCTGTATTGTATCGTCCACACGGATAGGGCACTCAATGTTCATCGTGTTTTTCAGAATGTATTTCGCACCGAAACACAAGTTACCAGCAGGACGAACCAATGGAGGGCGATTTTGCGTGGCCCAAATGTTTTTGCCATTCCTCGTGGCACCCTTGTGGCAAGCCAACAGGCGGCGGCGGATCGAAGACGCCTACGGCGAATCACCGCCGCCCCCTGCCTATTTGGAAGCGCCTATGTGACCAGACGTTGAGGCAATACCTGCCAAGCTATCGGACCATGTATTCCCCGAGTCGGCTTGGAAAGCCTTCGGGGAACACGTGGGCATCTTGAAGGTCATCTTGGCCGCCTGAAGGCCGTTTCGACCCTTTCGGGCCTTCTTGGAGGACGTCTTGGAGGGCTCTCGGGCCGTCTTGGAGGCCATGTTGAGCGTCTTGGAGGCCTCTTGGGCCGTTATGGAGGCCGTCTAGGGCCTCTTGGACGATCTTTTGGGGCACTTGGGCCGTCTCGGGCCGTCGGAAGGCCGAAAAACAAGCAACTGTCACAATCCTTCAAAACTCATGGGAAATACAAGATTTCGGTCTTTTCGGCCCTTCCTGGAGGCCCTCTTGGAGGCCGTCTTGGTTTGCCTTTGGCCCGTCCGACGCCGTCGGATGCCGTTTGGGGGGCCTCTCTGAGCCGACTTGGGGCCTTGTTGAAATGCTCCAGGGCCGTAGGCCGAAAAGAAGCCAATGTCGACAAATTGTGTTTGGCCTTTTTCTGGCTTTCCTGGAGGCCCTCTTGGAGGCCTCTTGGGCCGTCTTAGGCCAGCTTCGAGCCAACTTCGGCCATCTTGGTGGGTTCCTGGCAGGTCTGACGCCGCCGGGAGCCGTCTTGGGTGCCTCTCTGAACCGACTTGGGGTCCTTTTGGGGCGCTTTGGTGCCGTCTTGGAGGCCATCTTTGGCGTCTTGGAGGTCTCTTGGGCCGTCTTGGGGTCCTTTTGGGGCCGTCTTGGGGGCCTTTTGGGCCGTCATGGGGCCCTCTTCGAGGCCTCGTGGGCGATGGTGGGGCGATCTTGGCAGCCTCTTGGGCCGTCTTGAGCCGTCGGAATGCCGAGAAGAGGCAAATGCCCAAATCCTTCAAAAATTATTCCGACGGAAGGACCCCACATGAGAATCTGTTTAGCTTACCCTTACCCTTTTCCCCCTCGCCGACGATGGGTTACCACCGCCAGCCCGGAGACAAGGGGTTACCCCTGCCCCCGATTCGGCCGAGGATGGGTTACCACTCCCAGCCCGGACGCAAGGGGTTTCCCCTGAGCCCGATTCGGCCGCCGATGGGTTACCACCAGCGGCCCGGAGACAAGGAATTACCCCTGCCCCCGATTCGGCCGAGGATGGGTTTCCACCCCCGGCCTGGACACAAAGGGCTACCCCTGCGCCCGGCTGTTGTCTCGTCGTCGTCGTCGTCGTCGTCAGCTCCTCAGTCGCCCTTTCGGGCACGCAGGCCCATGACAACGACAAATTTGCCGACGACCAGCTCAGACGAGGCCACCCGCACTTCGCTCACAGACGAAGCTCCCGCCTGATACTTCCCCGCTTTCTGGAGGAGCTGAGGAGCCCTTCCCCCGTATTCACGCCGTAGGAGTTGAGGAGCCCAAAAAGTGACGAAAGTCACCGGAATCCGATGACCCGCTCGGATTACCAACATGAAGTGCGGGACCCGTCATGGCGGAGAGTCGCCGCGCAAGCCGCTGGAGGCTTAAGTTTTGGCCCAAAAGCGACGACACTCACACGTTTCGGATGACCCGCTCGGATTGCCAACGTGAGTTGCGGGACCCATAGGGAGGGGACTCCCGCCTGAGATTTCCTCACAATCCACTCACAGGCGAGGCTCCCGCTTGTCACTTCGATGACAGTTACACGTTTCGGATGACCCGCTCGCATTGCCAACCTGAAGTGCGGGACACATCGGGAGGGGGCTCCCGCCTGAGACTCCCTCGCAATGCACTCACAGGCGAAGCTCCCGCTTGAGACTTTTTTCCAAATTCAAGCAAGGGGGTGAGTGATGACGAAGTGATGAGTGAGTGAGTGGTACTGATGAGTGAGTGAGTGAGTGTGTGAGTGAGTGAGTGAGTGAGGTTGGCGAGAAAATAAGTGAGTGAGTGATGATGATGATGCGTGATTCAGTGAGTGAGTGTTTGAGTGATCAAGTGATGATGACGGTGACGATGATGATGATGATGATGATGATGATGATGAGTGGTGGTGCTGATTCATGGTGGTGATGGTGATGATGATGAATGCGTGATTGTGTGAGTGCGTGAGTGAGGACATGGGGGTGAGATCCTGCGCGGCGTGTGCAGCGAAAACGAGAACCCCACTTTGGATGTGGGGAATTTATGATTTTGGCCCCTGCGGGCCCACCTGGAGCACCTCTTGGAGGCCTCTTGGGTCGTATTGGGGCCACTTGGGCCGTCTTGGGCTATTTTGAGGCTGTCTTACGCCAGCTTGGGTCGTCTTGGAGGCATCCTGGGGCCATCTCAGCCGTCTTGGAGGCCATCTTGGCCGTCTGGGATGCATCTTGGAGGCCATATTGGACCGTCGTGGGGCCGTTTGGACCAGCAAAAACCCTTTGGAGCCGGGCCCGGGCAAGCGTTCGACATCTTTCCGGGTGGCTGGCGGAACGCGCCGGAGCCCCAGGGGGAGTTCTTTTTGGAAAAAGAACGAAAACCAAAAACGATTGGATTCAGCACGCCAGGCACCCCTCTTGCAAGCAACAGGGGGCGGCGGATCTCATTGCCTTCGGCCCATCCCGCCACCATGCCTGGGCTGTGGGTACGAAGCCTATTGCAATTTCGTTGCGATCTCGTGCGGGGGCCTCTCTGAGACCTCTTGGACGCAGTTTTGAAGCCTTATTGGGAGCTGTTCTGCGGCCTCTGGCGGCCTCCTTGGAGCCTCTTGAGAGCCTTTTGGGGCCTCTTGGGGGCATGCTGGGCGCCTCTTCGGCGCATCTTGGGGCCTCCTGGAGGCCTGTTGGTGCGGGAGTCGCGGATTTTCGCTTGTGTTCCCTCTAATGGGTCCCATTTGGGGGGCCGTCTTGGGACTCATTGCGCGTCCTGGGCGCCTCTTGGGCCGTCTTGGGGCGTTCTTGGGCCATTTGGGGGCCCTCTTGGTAGGCCTCTCGGGCCGTCTTGGGGTTTTGGGGGCCTCTTAGGCCGTCTTGGAGCATCGGACTTTCGAAAAGGCGAAAACGCCAAATCTTCAAACACGCATGGAACATCATCGATTTTTTGCCTTTCGGGGCTCTCTGTTGATGCCTCTTAGTCTCCTGGAGGCCCCTTGGGACGTCTTGGATACCTCTTGGGCCATCTTGAGGCCGTGCTGGGCGTCGTGGAGCGATGCTTCGGCGACTCGCGGCCCTCTTGGGCCGTCTTTGGGGCCTCGTGGAGCCCTCTTAGCCGCTAGTCCTGAGGCCCTTCTGGACCCGAGAACGTTGTGCAAGAAGAGGCCAGCAACCCCAGGGGGCACGCGCCAGCCCAAGAAGAATTGAGAATTGGGGCTCCGGCCCCTGAAAGGCTCTTCAGGAGTGGGGACTGAGGCTCCCCAGACCTTTGTGGGCCCCGGAAACGGCAGGGCCGTTTTTTTCACCGTTTCCAGAAAAATACCCCTTGAGAATGGAAACGCCAAAAAACTGCGACCGGAAACGGCCAAAAAACGGCTCCAGGATTGGAACTGGAGCCGGAACCGGTCAAAAAACGGCGACGGAACCGGCAACAATACGGCGTCGGAACAGGCAAAAAAATGGCAAAACGGAACGGGTAAACCAACGGCCTTATTGTTTCCAAGGCCCACTAAGCCCCAGACCCCCGACGTCTTCATTTTCATGATGCGGCCCTCAAAAGTCTGGAACCCTTCGCGGGGGCTGGTTTTTCATCCCGAGTCGTTTTGGGCCCCGGGGAGGCCGAAAATAGCGAAAAACCTCCCGTCGTGATTCTTTTCGCAGTGCAGGGGGGCCTGGGTCAGGGAATTGGGCGTAGGACCTGAGGACACGCCCACCCCGTGCCCAGCGGCGCGGTGGCGGATTTATGGGCGAAGAGGAGTGGAGGGAGAGAGAATGGGCGAGTAGAGGCCGAGCCACGTGGGGGGTGCTGTAGGGGAGGAGGGAGGTGACGTTACATCTTCGTGGGACCCAGAATTGGTGCCTTTTCTTGTGCCCGGCGCGGGCTCGATGCGGATTCGACGCGGATGTGGCGTGGGTCCGACGCGGATTCGACGCGGATTTGACGAGTCCGACATGGATTCGACACGAATTCGACGCGGATAGGGGCAGGGCGGGACAGACAGGGTTCCCCGAAGATGCAGCATAAGGGAGCGGGAGAGGCGAGCGCGAGCGACTTCCTTTCTTGCCTGGAGGTCCTGGGATGAGGCGCTGAAGTCCATGGAGCTGCAGGCCCTCAAGGCCCTGCGCCACCCGTTCATAGTGCGCCTGCGGGAGCTGATGCGGAGTCCCCAGGACGGGCGGAGCGGTGCTCTGCGGAGAGGCGTCGTGTTCATCGTCGGGGAGGGCTTCGGGCTGCGAGCAGACGGCCCCCCAGGTATTGCCAAGTTTTTGCACCGCCAGGGACTGATCATTTAGCGACGGTGCCGTCACAGAATGCCCTGGATTCCGAAATTGAGACTCTTGATGTTTTATTGTGGCGACGGCTTGGGATCGTTTTGGGGTCGCTTTCCCAGCTAGTGAGGGAGGAGGGAGTAAGAGGAAAGGCGGAGGAGGAGACACTTCTGAAGCGCAAGCGGTCGCGATCGAGGTCGAGGCAGGCGGTTTATCCTTAAAGGTTCGCTTCTCGACGGAGGGATACCTGCACCAGGACGGCTTCCTGCTGGCACGTGGGTGCTTTGAGGGATCGCACTCTCTTCTTCCCCCTCCCAATATTCCATCCTACGGTCAGTAACGGTTTCATGGCGTGTCGCGCTGGAGGTTCTGGCCCACCGTGTTTAGGTGCGACAAGCTCAGCAGGCCCACTCCCCCAGAGTCAGCGTCCCCTCCACGAACGTCTGCGACGCTGCGTAGGCCGTCTCCGTCCACTTGTCCGCGCTCCCATCACCGTGTAGACCAGCAGCTGCTAGGCCTTCTTCTAGTTGAGCATTTTCCTCGTTCCCGTGATTCTCTCCGATCGTTGTTGTCATGAGTTCCTCTGCTGCTGCCATCGCTGTCTCGGTGATCTCGGCCGCCTCGCCGAAACCGGGCGCGATAGGCTTCATCGTGCGCCTCCTCCGCGTAGGCCGTCAGTTCGTCTAGCTGCTTCGTGTCCTCGAAGAGCTCGCGCGCACATTTCCTGGACTTGCAGCCCCTCTGCTTGTCTCTCGCGGCCACAAGCTTCTCCGACCACCCCTCGCTCAGCGCCTTCTTCACGTCCTCGTACCTGTAAGAGTTGCTCTTCGCGCCGGAGGTCGCCAGTACTGCAGCCTTCTCTGAAAGATCCAAGCCCGTACCGTCCAGCAAGATCAAACCCAGGACGAACGCATGCATGTAGCCTGTAGCTGGACTGTCGTTGCACACCGCATGTAGGACCTTCTCGATCTGGCTGAGGTGGATGTCGAATCGGGATACCCAGCGCGTTTGCCATGCCCCTCGGGTTCCTATAGATGCTTCTCATGAGCTCTCGCCACTTCGACACAGCCTCCTGCGTAGTGCCGGCGCCACGGATCTCCTTTTAGGCGGTGACCACTCGCTCGGCGCCATCCTCCTTCACCAGGTCGTCTAGCGACACCTTCTTCGCCTCGTGCCACTTCTGGGAGTCGTCGTCCATGGCCTGGACCAGCCAGGGCCCCAAGTAGACGCCGTCCTCCTCCTCGGTGCCCAGGACCCATAGCTTGACTTTCTGTTCGAAGCTCTCCAGTGTCGAAGCTTCTCCACTCCAGACTGGACTGTTCACACCTCCTGTCTGTCTGTTGTTCGTTCGCCATCTTGAAGCTTGGAGATCGAGATGCTCACCTCAAAGTGGGCTGCCACCTCGTCTCGCTACAAATGTCAGTGGAGCGTGTTGTCCACGGATCTCAGCCTTTCGTTTCAAAATGTCCTCACAATCCGTCAGCACGTCGATGTGCCCAAAGAGGTAGGCGGAGGGAATCAGCTCGACAGAGCGTCCCATCACCAACATCAGAATGCCAGGAAGTCGATAGCGAAGAAGGCACGTTCACAAATAATCCAAGATATCATGTCTGGCCCCGCTGAGCTCCGGACCAGGGTTTGTGAAACAGTCACCTCGCTGGCTTGTGCCAGATGGCTGCGGACAGGACGGCGCAGGCAGGAACAGGAGGTTGCTCTCATCTCACAGTTTCTTTTCCGGCACTCACCCCGACCGAACCGTCAGTGCAATCGCCTCCGTCCTGTGTTTGGTCAGGGGAACATGCTCCTCTTCATATCTGTAGCTCCCAATCTGCTACTGTGGCGTCGCGTCGTCCACCATCCAGACAGCAGGGGCGAGCAGCTGACCGCGCCAGAAGATATGGCCGAGGCTCTAGAGCAACACTGGGGGCAGGTACTCTGGCGCCGCGGTTTCGACGAAGCGAAGCTGGAAGAGTGGCTTGCGCAAGATGCGGCCCACCGTCCTCCAGAACACCCGCATCCTTTCCCTGCCAGCCAGTTCCGCCTCCGAGACGCGATTCGGAGTTCACGATCTTCCTCGCCAGGCCCAGATGGCCTCCCTTTCCTCGCCTGGCAGCGGGTGGAGTCGCTAGCCGTGGAGGTGCTGTTTGAAGCATTCGGCGACACGGGGAGGACCTCAACGCTAGGCTGCTGTTTGTCATACGGAAGGGCGCCCCGGAGCGCACGGCCGAGGACGAGCTCTGCCGCGCGGTCGACGAGGTCCGCCCTCGGAACGTGACCAATGCCGACAATCGCCTGCTGGCCAACGCTGTGCGAATGGCGATAGAGGATCGGGTCGGGCGAAAGGGGGGGATTGGGAAAGGGGGGGTTACGAAATTTGCTGCATGCAGCTGGTTTCGGCCTCACCGAGGGGCCCATTCCTCGATACATGGCCGCCTCCAGCGCCGGGAGGCGCCGTGAAAATCAGCTGCGTGAGCTGATTCTCAACCCCCCCTTTCGCCCGACCCGAGAGGACGCGGTCGCGCGCCGGATCTCCAAGACCCAGATAGGTGTCTTGCCAGGGCGGTCAATGATGGCCAACCTGGTAGACTTCGTCGCGGGGTTCGCGGAGCACTACACCGCTGGCTCGGAGTCCGCGGCCTTCTTCCTCTTCTTCTTCGACTTCGAGGCCGCGTTCCCGTCCATCGAGCACGGCTTCATGATGCGTTCGCTCGAGGACTTTGGTTGGCCCATTTGGCTGCTCCGCTTTGCGGAGGCGCTCTACCGAGACAACAAGTGCGACGCAGTCGTGAAGGGCGCGCGCTGCACGGGCGTTCGACTCATGCCGGGGTTGACGCAGGGGTGCCCTCTGTCGCGCTCCTCTCCGCGGTCGCCTCGGACCTATTGCTCTGCCGCCTGCAACGCCTCTTGCCGGCCGCGCTCGTCCGGGCCTGCGCCGACGACCTGGTCATCCTCGTTGAGCGCGCTCTCGCCCAGCTGCCGACGCTCCACCGTTCGTTTGACGACTGCGCGCGGATGTCGGGCCTTCGCAGAACTTCCGGAAGATGGTGTTCGTCCCCCTGTTCGCTTACGACGAGCCGGCGCTGCGAGCTGATATCGCCCACGAAGTCATGGAGCGGGGCGCCATGTCAATCAAGGACCAAGCCAAGCATTTGGGACTAATCCTGGGGCGAGGCGCAGAGGACGCTTCATGGACGGCGCCGCTCGCCAAGATGTTGGACCGGGCCCAGCTCTGGGGTGCCTTCCGGGTGGTCGTGGCGTCTGTCGTCACGTTCGTAGCGCAGCTCCGCCCACTGCCAGCTACTTTCCCGGCCGCAGAGACGAAGGCCTGCGCCGAGTTGTTTCCTGGCCCAGGGGCATGGCGAGCGCCGAGTTTCTGACTCAGCTCAGGGATCTCGGCTTTCCTTGCGAGCTGATGGACATCCGGTGCGCGGCGATCGCTGCAAAGGCTCGCGTCTGCCACTACGAGGACGCCCAGCAGGGTGGCTTGCGAGTGCGGAGTCGGGCGCGCCAGTTCCGGCATCGCATGCAGTGCGCTCTTCGCGAGCTCCTGCTGGCCCACATCGAGCTGCGGTTGGAGTCGACTGAGTCGACTGCGCTTTTCGTGCTTGGGGCCGCGGAGGAACGCGCCCACGAGCTCGAGCGGGTGCAGAACCTCCCCTGCGCGCGGACAGCGAAGCAGGAGGCCCGGCAACAGATAGATGAAGGCCACCTGGTAGGCCGCGCGCCACCAGGCCCTCCTGTCGAGCCGCCCGCGAGCCCCAGCGGCCATCTTCATGCGCCGCCGCCTGGATCATTGGGGCATTTGCGCTTTTCCGGGGGCGCGGGTGCAGCGATTTCGGTCGCACATGGAGGCGCTGAGCACGCTCGTGCCGCCGTGCGTCATGGCCGCGGTCCTGCGCACCGCCTTCAACGGTTTGGTCACCACGCGGCGCTTCCAGCAGAGTGGACGCTGCGCCTTCGGCTGCGCCCGGGGCGTGGACAGTATCAAGCACTACGCCCATTGCAGCTAGTACCACCAGTGGAGTGAGGAGCACAGTCGCCTGTCGTGGCCGACGGCCTCCCAATGCCTGCCGGATTTCTTGGCCTCGGTGCTTCCACGAGCTCCGCGCGAGTAGGGGCGGCGCGCGCGCGTCGAGAGCTCGACGCTTTTCGGGCCGTGCGTCGCTACGCGCTGCACCGCGCACTTGGCGATCCGCCCCCGCACGGTCGAAGCGGCGGACGCGGGGGCCATTTTCGAAGCGGCGGCTCGCGACGCCTATTCGGCGGAGCCGATGGGCAGCTTGCTTGTTCGGTCTCGCTCCCGGCCACGCACGCTGACGCCCGCGTAGGAGCGGAATGCCTTCAGAAAGGCGTTTGGTGAGGAGCAGCGCTCGGCTGAAGCGTTCCTGCCCCCCCGCCTCCCTCTCCTTCTTTTCCTCGCCCTCCTCATCTTTCTCCTCCGTCCTTGGCGTCGCGGCCGCGGTATTGGACAGATTTGTGTTTGGGCCGGCATTTGGCCATCCCGCTGCGGCCAAGGCGCACCGGGTCCGTGACATGTCGATTCCGCTGTGCAGAGGGCTGGCCTGAGCATTTCTACTTCGAAGGTGGAGGCAGCGACGCGAGCTGCGATCGGAATCCGCCGAGTCCGCCGAGAACGGCTCGCACCTCTTCTCCCCTCTCGTCCCTTTCTTCCCGCCCCTTCCTCCCGGAGGCGGAGAGCTGGCTAGCACTGCTGGGGTTGGCCTGCTTTCTCGCTCCTCTGCCTATCTCGTCCTCGCTCCCCCCCGAAGTCTGCCATTCGGAGCTCTTAGATCTGGACCGCGGAGGTCTGGTAGTCGGCGCTGCGTGCAGCGGGAGCTCGAGGCTCGGCCGGCCCCTCCCCCTCTGTTCTTTCCTCTCCCCGGTTGCACCGTTGAGGCGTAGGCGGGCCGGGACCAGTTGAACATGTGGAGGCTTCGAGGCTGTTTAAACCCCTCCTGCCTTGGAGCGCCCCGTGGGTGCGCGCAGACTTCCTTTTCCGCCTCCTCCTCCTCCTCTTCCTCCTCCTCTTCCTCCTCCTCCTCCTCCTCCTCCTCCTCCTCCTCCCCCTCGCTCTCGGTAGTTAACTTGACGCGGCAACTTTGGCGTTCCATTGCGTTGCTTGCTGGTCGGAAGTTCCTATTATGTTTTCCGTTGCCGTTTGGCTTGGCGTCGTGGTTGGGGCCACCTCGCAGGCTCGACCCTTTCGTTTCGATTTCATTCCAGGGTCGACGATGCTCCCGCCGAAGGCGATGGCATAGTTTACATCGAGTTCCAAACGCAGTCTCACTGCCCTTCTGCTCCTTCCTCCTCCTCTTCCTCGGGCTGCCTTTTATGGGCCAGAGTCGATGATTTTGAAGTGTAGCCTATGACGCAGCTCGCCACTGTGGGACGCATTATGTCACGGAGTGTCCAACCGAGTTGGCCGCGATTTCCCCTTCCTCTTCTCCCTCCTCCTCCTCCTCCTTTTCCTCCCGCTCCTCTCTCCTCGCTGGCGTGGTGATGGATTCGCTGCGTTGGCCGCTAGGGCCATTCTGCTCAGGCCATGTCAATATTTTTCCGGAGTTGCCGCGCTTCTGCTACAGACTGCAAGTGGTGAATGAGGATGCAGCGTCGCGTTCGTCCCCTCAATGTCTCCTCCAAAATTGCGCGGGAAAAAAGATCAGACAGCGCGCGCCTTGATTCGGTGTGATCCGTTGGGGTCTCCGACTCCTCCTCGATGTCCAAGCCATCTGATGAGCCTGTTTCCCACCGCCACCACCATAAGTTGGAGGGGGGAAGGAGGAGGAGAGCGAGGAGGAGGAGGACGAAGAGGAGGAGGAGGAGGAGGAGGAGGAGGAGGAGGAGGAGGAGGAGGGGGAGGACCCCCCCTTCCAACTTTTGGTGGTGGTGGTGGTGGTGGAACACAGGCCCATCAACAACTGCTCAGGCCCCCCCCTTCCCCAAGAAGCTGCTGCGTCGACGGAGGGGCCCCCGACGCCGAGTGTGCTGCTGCCTCCCCATGCTGGTCGCATGCTCTGGTCGTGCCCCTTCTGGTGGGCGTGCTTTCCACCGTCACCACCATAAGTAGGAGGGGGATGGGGTCCCCTCCTCCTCCTCCTCCTCCTTCTCCTCTTCTTCTTCATCCTCCTCATCCTGCACCTCCTTCTCCCCTCCAACTTATGGTGGTGTTGGTGGAACACAGGCCCATCACCTTCTGCACTGCGGTTGCGGACCGCTCCGTCGCGGGCGTCGGCTGCGCATTTTTGACGGCAGGTTGAGGCCGCCGATGCAGCGTCGCCCCCCGATTCGGGTTGCCATTCGACGCGCCCGTCATCCAGCGGGGCGGTCGGAGCGCTTCTTTCGTCCCCGTGCGTCGGGCTTGCACTGGGCTGAGGGGGCCGTTCGAAACGTAGCCACAGCTGCACTTGCCATGCTCGCCTTCGCGCGCGCGAGGCCCTTACAAGGCCGAGTGTTTCGCCCTCTGTCTTTGTTGGGTCTGCTCGGGGGCGGCAAAGGGGGGGGTGATGACTAGGGGGGGGGTGGATATCATGGTGTGGGCCATGATATTTCCCCAGATTTCATGGCGCCTCTTCTTATTTTAATACGTCCCTGGCCCCCAACCTAGGCCGCGCACATGCCGCCGGCCATAATTTGCGCCCCCCCTCTTTCACGCCCCCCTCTTTGCCGCCCCCGATATGCATTGTTGTGCGCGTTCGTTTGTGCCCCCCCCCCTGTGTGCCCAGTGCCGCTGCTCCTGTCGTCGCTGGTGCGTTTGCTGTGCGTTCCCTCCTGCGTGTCTCTCCTGCTGCTGCTCCGTGTGCCGCTGGTGGTGGTCGGCTCGCCGTCCGCAGTGGCCTCTTGTCCACTGGCCCCGAGCTGCTCGAGGGGGGCGGCGCTGGCTGGCAAAGGTTCGGTTGCGTTGATCTTCGAGCTGAAGAGGAGGAGGAGGCGGAGGAGGAGGAGGAGGAGGAGGGGGAGGAGGAGGAGGAGAGGAGGGAGGAGGAGGAGAGGAGGAGGAGGAGGAGGAGGAGGAGGAGGAGGAAGACATTGCCTCCCTGAACTGCTCCCGGCTGCGAGGGACTGCCCCCCTTCCCGCGGCCCGCGCCGCCCGCCTCCCCTCCCGGACAAGCACCTCCTCCTCCTCCTCCTCCTCCCCCTCCTCCTCCTCTCCTCCTCCTTCTCCTCCCTCCTCCTCCTCCTCCTTCCCTCCTCCTCCCCCCCCCTTCTCCTCCTCCTCCTCCTCCTCCTCCTCCGCCTCCTCCTCCTCCGCCTCCTCCTCAGCCTCCTCCTCCCGAGTCACTTTGGAGCGCCGCGGGCGGAGCACCGACCCCCACCGCCGTCGCGCGGTCAGCGAGCGACGCCTCCGCGGCGCACGAGTGCTGCCACCGCACTGTGGCTGCACGCGTCGGCTCGTCTCTCCGTGCCCGCCCACGCCCGCGCGGGAGGTCCCGGCAAGTTCGCGTGTGCTTCCGCCCGTGCCTGCCGCAGCCGCCCTCTTGGTGGCTCCCCGGCTCTCTCTCGGGCGGCGAGCTGCGTGCGTGGGCCCAATCGCGCCTGCCTGTCTCCCCCTCCTTCCTGCTTTGGGTGCCTTGCCTGCGTCTTCCTCGGTCCCCGTCCTCTTAGAGCGCCTGGCACTGATTTTGCCCAGCGCTTAAGTGTTCATCACATCCGTTGTGTATCACTGCTGCAGTTTGTATGACTTCATCGAATGTCTCTTCGTTCAGGCACCGACCAGCTTGGGAAAGACACATCGTCATCCTTTTCCTCCTCCCCATCACCATCCGGAGCGCCCAGCGCCCCGACGGTGCATGGTGCCTGCGGCTGCGGCGGGTCGTCGCGTGCGGGTGCGCCGCGCGGCGATCCGCCACGCCCGGCAGCAGGCGCTGGCTCTGCGAAGGTTGCTGATGCCGCTCGCCGTGGTAAGACTGCGCGACGATGGTCGCGGAGGCTGCTGGCGAGGGGCCCGCGCCGCTCGCGCTGCCCCGCTCCTTGCCAGGCCCGACCGACGCTTCGGCGGACGTCGTGCGGGCTGCGGCCTCTCGGTGAGCCCGCGCGCGCGCACGGCCGCGCCCGGCGTCCGCTGGGCTGCCGCGGCAGCTCGGCTCGCGGACAGGCGAGCGCGCGGATGCGCAGCATGTGGAACATGATTGTGGCGGTGGCGCACGCTGGTCTGCAGCTCGTCTGCTTCCTCTGCGGGATGCTCGGCGCGGGTTGCATCCACGCGCTGGGCGCTGGCGGCTGCAGGTCTCCTCGCGCGCGTGGGCGGCGCGTGGTCTTCGTGCCCCAGGGCGTCCTCTCCATTGTCGGGAGGTGGGGGCGCTTCGTCTTGGAGCTGGGCATGGATTGCGCGCGTGGTACACTACGGCATCGGCTGCGCGCTCAAGCTGGGCACGGACTACGGAAGGCTCGTCGATCCGTGCTGGCGGGGGACATGTTTCGTGTGTGGCGTTGCTCCCTCCGTCTTCGGGGACTTCTGGAGGTCTCTGCACGCGGCCGCGGTTCACGGCATGGGGTGCGCGCGCATGCTCGGTCATGGGTAGCGGCACCGCCCTCATGCTCCCCTGGGCCCCTGGAGCGGGAAAGCAGCTATCCCGCTCGGCCCGCATCGTCGGCGATATCTTCGGCGTCGGCGTCGGCGTCATCAGAGTGGTGATCTGCACGGTCTGGCACAGTCGCCTGCTCGTCGTGGCGTTGGTCTGCTACGCCGTCGTGGTGGCCATTCGTGCCGTCCTCATCCTGGCAATGTGTTTGTTGTGCCGCTCTCGTCACGCGGCATCGCTAGCTAGCCGCCAGCCCTTGGCCGTGGCGGCGTTACTGCGAGTGGGGGTCGCCTGGTTTCGCGTGGCCTACCTCATCATCACGGCAGCAGCGCATGAGGTCGCGGCAAATCACCTGAGGCTTGCTGTTTGTGTTTTTGCTTTCGCTTGTGAGGCTGATCTCAGCAGCGCGCTTGCCTGCTTGCGTCGCGTCGGCCGCGCCGAGCACCACCCTTCCCCCACGCGAAGCGAACAGCTGCATTGGCATCCGCCGAGCGAGCAGCGCCCTCGTGCGCCCCAGGAAAGCGAAGACCGGGTCAAGTGGTGGCAAGGGTTCGGGGGGGCCAGAGCTGCACTGGCAGCCGCGGAGGAAGGAGCGTTCTCCCCTGTTCCCCCACGAGCCGCAGAGCGGGCCCGCGGCCGGCAGTCCCACACCCGCACCACTGCAGCGCTGTCCCTCCAGCAGGCCGCAGCAAGGCGCATTGACGGCCTCTGCGCTGGCGCGCTCGTGCGAAGATCCGTGTTTGCTGTAGGGCTGGCACGATGGTGGTCCCACCTTTCTGTGTTGGCCGGGATCGCCTCGGCGTGGGCCGTGGGCTCGGGCAGGCAATCTGTTTTGGGCCGCGCGGTCTTGCGTGCAAGGCCTTCGCGTTCCATTCGGCCGTGGCCAGGCGAGCTCGCCTGTCGGACCTGTGGCGGACGAAGCTTCCCATGATCATCGTCATCATCATCAGCATCATCATCAAACTCATCGACACCATCGTCATTGTCATGATTACAACCATCATCCCCATCATCACCAGCACTGCCATCATCACCACCATCATCGTCGTCATCCTCCTCGCCACCCCCTTCCTTAACGTATAACCTTAAGTCGGGCCTGTCCCCCATGCAGGGGGGATTTTTCGACGAAGCATAAAAGATACCCCAACAACAGTCAAAAAACAGTTCAAACGTAGTCTGGGGACTATTTCTTGAGTATTGTTTGGCCTTTGTGGGGTATTTTCGTCGAACGTCCCCCTGTACGGGGACAGGCCCGACTTAAGTATAGGCCTCTCCTCGTGGGTGCTGCCCGATCTGCCGAGGTGCCCCGCGCCGTCTCCCCGCCCCCCCGCCACACACGCCGGGGCCGGCGGGGGGGTCCCGCGCCTCGGCTTCTGTTCTCGCGGGCCTTCCCTCTTCCGTCCTCCTCCGTCGGTCCCTCCCCCCAGGGGTGCAGTGCCCACCCCAACGACGTCCCTGCTCTCCCCTGGCTCTTCCTGCTTCTGCTCCTCCCCCCCTCTCTCTCCTCCCCCTCTCCCTCTTTTGCCCCCCCTCTCCCTCTCCTCCCCCCTCTCCCTGCTCCACCCCCCTTCTCCCTCTCCCCGTGCTCTGCTCCCCTCTCTGTCCCTGTGCTCCCCTTTCGCCTGTCTCTCCTGGCCTGCACGGGCTCCGCAACGAGGGCTCCTGGAACTCTTGGGACGGATCCTCCTGCGTCTCCTCCTCCTCCTCCTCCTCCTCCTCCTCCTCCTCCCCCTCCTCCTCCCCCCCCTCCTCCTCCTCCCCCCCCTCCTCCTCCTCCTCCCCCTCCTCCTCTTCCTCCTCCTCCTCCTCCTCCTCCTCCTCCTCCTCCTCCTCCTCCTCTCCTCCTCCTCCTCCTCCTCCTCCTCCTCCTCCTCCTCCTCCTCCTCTCTTCCTCCTCCTCCTCCTCCTCCTCCTCCTCCTCTTTCTTCTCCTTCTCCTCCTCTTCCTCCCCTCCCCCTCATTCCCCTCCTCCCCCTCCCCCTCCCCCCCCTCCTCAGCCAATCGCATCATGTCACCACCATCAGTCTTTCAATGCAGTCGGCACTAGCGTCCTTTCGCTGTCATCGTCTCATCATCTTATCGTCCGATCTCCCTGTCGTTGCCAGTCATCCTACCATCGCCCCATCGCATAATGCCATGACTATCGTCTCTCCCCCCCCCCCCCCCCTCTCTCCACCGCCATCCCACACCCCTTCACGTGTTCGCCGCCGCCAGGACGGCAGCCTGTACTACGTCTTCGAGTTCCTGGGCAGCGACCTCTTCCGCCACATCCGCGAGCACCCCAACGGCCTCGAGGAGCCACGCGCGGCCGAGCTCAGCCGACAGCTGCTCTCGGCCCTCGGGCACATGCACCAGCTCGGCTTCTTCCACCGCGACGTCAAGCCGGAGAACATCCTCTTCGACGTGCCGTCGAGCACCATCCGCCTCGCCGACTTCGGCGAGACGCGGTCGCTGCGAGCCCGGCCTCCGTTCACGGACTACGTGGGCACGCGGTGGTACCGCGCGCCGGAGGCCCGCGGGGGTGGAGCGGAGCGCGTGCCCTGACGTCCCGCATGTGCCGCTGCATCTCTCGGGGGGACCCCGCCCGTCGCGCAACTGGCCAGGGCCAGCATCTCCCGCGCCCCTCGCGAGCTCGGCGCAGGCTCGACGGTGGGCTCGGCGCACAGCAGGCGTCCGACATGGCTTCGGCACAGGGCGGGCGCGACAGGGCAGAACCCTCCTGATGAGATGCAGCCTGGCGGTTGCCCTTCGGCTGCCTCGTGCCTCGAGTCTGGCCAGCCAGGGGGCCGCCCCGCGCGGACCCGGCTCCCTTCCAGCTGCGATGGAGATGCCATGCAAGCAAGTTTGCTTGAGTTCGGGGGCCGCCTTTTGGCTACCGCCGCTCCGCGCGTACCTCGTGGCGGACCAGATTTTTGTTGGCGTGTGTGTCGGGGGGTGGTGTGCCAAAATTGTGCGCAAGAGGTACACTTTTTGCGCACAGCCTCCGCCCTACGGCCTTGTGGCAGACCAGCTTGCTCGCGGGAGGCGATCGCAAATATGGATTAAGGGGGCGTGGATTAGCGACGGGTCCTGTTTCCGTGGGAAATCGCAGATTTCCGCCGCCGAACGAGGCCGCACCGGCCGCATTTTGGGGAGGGCACCTCCGTGGCACCTCCCCCGATCCATGGATTTGGCGACCGCGCGCCACATCCACGGATCGCTAATCCATGTTTGCGCGCCCCCATTTGGGGGAGTGGGATGCGCAAGTCGTGTCCCAAGGGGTGCCATTCTTGTACGCAGCCCCCGCCCCACAGTCTTGCTATTGAACCAGCTTGAATGTGGGGGTGATGAACTCTGCGGAGGAGGGCCCGTCGAGACAACGATCGCTCTCCCGTCCATCCTCCTCCTCCTCCTCCTCCTCCCCCTCCTCCTCCTGCTCCTCTTCCTCCTCCTCCTCCTCCTCCACCTCCTCCTCCTCCTCCTCCTCCTCCTCCTCCTCCTCCTCCTCCCCCCCTCCGTAGCCCTTTGGCTCAAGCCGTATCGGCTCAGGGTGGTCTGCGCGACCCGCTCGGCCTGGCTCCCCCCGACCCGCTCCTCGGGTCTTCCTGTTCCCTCTCCCTCGGGCCGCGCGCGCCTCGGCCGTCGGCCGCCCGCCTCCCTTTTCACGCCCTCTAGCCATGGCTGAAGCTGTTCGTGCGGCAGGCTCCATGAAGGGCTTGCTTGGACCGACTCCTTCTCCTGCCCCTGCGGGGGCTGAGGGAGGGGTTGCGCCGCCGCCCGCGCCCGAGGTACAGTCGGATGTGTCCATGCAGCTCAGCGCGTTGACGGCGATCGTGAAAGAAGGGTTTACCACGCACACAGCAGAGTTTGAGTTGTTCCGCCAGCAGATGACAGTGATGGGGACCAACTTTGATCGGATGCAGGATGAGCTCGCTGAGATGAATCGTCGCTCGGAGGCTCGTTGGGCAGAGATTAAGAAATCCCAGGACGCATTGATTCACGAGGTCTCGGTAGACACAGATGCGAAGTTGGCTGCAGTAGTGGCTAAGATCGACGTTCAGATTCATGAGTTACAGCAGAAGCTCTCGGCTGGTTCGTCGACTCGCGCCGATTCGGAGTTCGAGCTCGTGGGAGGTGATGGGGATGGAGGGCGTCGGAAGATGATGAGGACGTCGGGGCCAGACCAAGCCAGCGCCACTCGTCTTATTGTTCTCGGTTTTGAGAAGCCCTTACTGGAAGCGTCTCTCAAGGAAGCGGTGGCCCCTATCGTTGCCGCGTGTAGTCCAGCGGGTGAAGAACCGATCGTTCGTGCGTACTCCCTCACGCGGAAGGTGATTATTGATTTCCACCGTACTTTGTCGTGCACGGCGTACTTCGGTAAGAGCCAGACCATTGGTAAGATTGTGTACCAGAACCCGATTGATAACCTTGGCTGGGAGCTCCGTGTGCGTCGTGACTTGCCCCCCGCTAGCCGTAAGTTGTTCTACTGCCTGGGACAGACTCGTGCGATCATCGGGAAGGTCTTGGGGGAGAAAGGTTCCCAGGTGGGCAGCAACGGTCTCGGCGGTCAGATATGCGGTCTCACTACGGCAGTGCACCCAGTTATTCTTGCGAAGGTCACGGTCCTTGAGTGTGGTCGCCTTGAACTCGTTCTGATTCCTGAGGCCCTCGGAACGTTCGGAGTAGGTGAGCGCGCTGGCTGCATTGCAACCCTTTTTTGATCAGATTCGGCCCTTTGTGTGAGGCCCCCAGTTGTCCTGGAGCACCCTGCCTCGGGATTCCTTGTGCGCTGCCTGGCACTTGTTGTCGGGTCCCTGGTGGTTCTGGCCCTCCCTGGGATGTGGGGCCTGTCGGGGGGAACCATCGGACCCGTGTGCCGACTAGCCAGGACAGTGCTCAGCCAGCCAACCCGTGTTTTACTATTAAGTCAGGCGGGCCGTTTACCCCTGGTGACCCGTCCTCTGGAGCGAGCGGGGTGTTTGCTCCCTCTTCTGCGCTTACCTTGTGCTCTTGGAATACACGTGCTCTTTTCTCATCGTGCTCTACTTCGTCACCACTGACAGCTCGGCGGTATAAGCAGATGTGTGGTCTTGTTGGCAGGTTCGACGCTGTGTGTTTACAGGAGACTCATGGCACGGCGTCTGATGTGGAGATGTTACAGCGTGATGATCGCTGTCGCAGTGCAATTGTTCACCATTCGATGATTGATCCGAGTGCTGGGGGCGGTGTGGTTACGGTTATATCGAGTAAGTTGACTTCGCAGTTCGACTCGATCATTCCGTTTCCGTTGATTGCTGGCCGGGTTCTCGCCTCGCACCTGAAGGGACGTCGTGGGGACCTAGTGATTGTCAGTGTTCACATGCCGAATACTTCGGATCCTGTTGCGATGTATCGCAGGTACCTGTGCGTGATTCAGGCGTTTCTTCCATTGGCTGCGCACACTATGTGTTTGATTGCTGGGGATTGGAACTTTATGGAGGTAGAGGAGGGGCGGTTTCGGACTGACGGCGCTTGGCCAGCAGGGGATAGGAGACACACTGATGCCGTTCAGTCTCTTTGTGGGTCTTGGGCTGAGCTTTTCCAACCAGATCCGACACGGCGTGATGTGTTCCAGGGAGAAGTTCGTGGGGCTGCCCGTCTGGACCGCATCTACACTTCTCTCTCGGCCCCCGTCTTGAATGATTTGGCGGTGACGGTAAATACCCTGGGGCATGCCGTGAAGAACTTCGCCTCGTCCGACCACATCTTTGTTGCGGCCACTGTCGCTCTGAGAATGCCATCAGCGTTGCCCACCCAGATTCCTAAGTGGATTTCCCGACATCGTGTTTACCATGAGTTGCGTGCCAGCGCTATTAAGGAAATCGACCAGGATTTGGCCCCTCGGGAGAAATTGGCTCGGGCGAAGGAGATGTTCTGGCAGGTGGCCCCTCTGTTCAAGGCTCGGCTTCGGATGGAGCCCCCGAGAGAGAATTGTGAGAAGCCCCACTTTGCTATGATGGCTTTCCGTGGGTGGCGCATGGGCAGGTTCGACCAGTGCGTGCGTGCGATCCGCGCGTATCCTCGGTTGCTTCAGTACTTTGGTCCAGACCGTGAGGGATGCTCGGATATAGCCGGCCAGGGTGCTTTGGTGCAGTCTCTGAAGGATGCTTGGTATGAGTCGGAGGAACGGGCGATGGACGGGTGGGGGGATGACGAGAAGTCTAAGGCTAAGGCCAGGGCCTGCTTGCAACACCTCCGTCGAGCCTGGTCAAAGATGCGTCGGCGCTATGGGCTCTCTGGGATCCTGGACAGTTCTGGACGGGTGTGCCCTTCTCCGACGGCCTCTGCTGAGGCCCTTCGGGACTATTGGCAGGCGGTTTTTGCAGCCAAGGAACCTGATCGGACCCCATGGCCTGGAATCCTCGCCCATGCCCAGCCGATCCAGTTGGACCCATCGCATTGGAAGTTGGATGTTGACGGTTTTGTTGAGCGAGCCCGATCTAAGCATCACTCTGCCCCTGGGGAGGATGGCATTCCGTATGGGTGCTGGAAGGCTGAGGGGGCCGCTGGTGTTTTATTTGCTGCTTATGAGGAGATGTATCAGGCGTCTGGGGGTACAGTTTCGGCGTGCATGCGTCGAGGAAGGATGTGTTTTCTGCCCAAAGACTTCAAAGACGACGAGAACCCCGCTGTCCTTGTTCGGTCGCCTGTTAAGACTCGCCCACTCACGCTAGCGAATACCGATGCGAAGCTCCTGAGTGACGCTTTCTCCATTGGCCTCCAGCGGGCTGCTCCGTCAGTGATCGACCTGATCCAGCGCGGGGGGTTGCGCGACGTGGGCTCCTGGACAACGTGGTTGAGATTGAATGGTGGGGTCTTCGTCAGATGCTTACTGGTGGGGATCGCTCGGGCATTCTGTTCACGGGCTTTAAGGCTGCGTTCCCCTCTCTGATCGTCTCCTGGATCTTGGCGGTCTTGGCGGCTATGGGTGTTCCTGGTGAAGCTTGTGGTTTTTTTTTATCGGGAGTTGTACCGTGACAGCGTGGCTGTAATCAACTTCCCAGGGGCTGCTGGTATTGCTTTTTCGGTGGAGCGTGGGGTGCGGCAAGGTGATCCTGCTTCGATGCTTCTCTTCGCTTATGCGCTAGACCCAGTATTGCGTTGGATGAGGGCCAAGCTCACTGACCATGTCCCTCGGATTAGAACCTACACTGATGATATCTCCTTCTGCCTTCCCAACATCCTGACTGACCTCCAGCCGACGCTCTCGCTCCTTCGTAAGTTGGAACATGCTGTGGGACTTGGGCTGAACATTCCCAAATGCAAGGTATTGGTGATTGGCTCGCTTGATCCTGATAGATTAGTTGCCCACCTTCGAGCCAAGGGGAGCGAGTGCCACCGCATTGGGTTTGTTCGCGCTGTTTTATACTTGGGGTTCTGGCTCGGGCCTGGGGCTCTGGACAAAGTATGGAGCAACACCATCCCCAAGTTCTGGATGACGGTGCGGGGGCTTCGTGGACTTGGGCTGGGGCTTCCACATACCATTCGCCTTTTCCACCCGCGCTGCATGTCGATTTTGGCGTACCAGTTGCAATTATGCCCAGTGACCACGGCTCTTCGGAAAGCGTATAATGAGGCTTTACAGGTGATTACTGCTGGTCCCCGCCATGCCTTCTCGAGGGAGATGCTGACGGGCCTCCGAGCGTCAGGGGCCTCTTTAGAATGCTTGGATATCGGTTGTTTTTCGAAGGCTATCAAGTTTCGGGTGTTGATGTCTTGCTCCAGTATTGATGCTGTCCAGTATGAGATGGAGTCTTTGACGGTTTCCCTGGATGACGATAACTTCATTCCCTCTCGCCTGTACTGGCCCTGGTGGAAGTCTTCCCAGATCAGGACTACGGTGACTGAAGTAGGAATTTTCACGGCCCCGACCCTGGCCCCCATCCCCAATAAATCCCTTCAGAAGAAGACGATGCGCCAGCTCAGAGGGCTCCGTGGCCCCACTGTTCCCCTCCGCACTATGGTTCAGAGGGTGTCCAAGTGGGTGGGTCCCGACCGTGTTACGGTAGCTGACTTTCAGGTGCTTGCCCACAGGATGCGTAGAGTTGAGAAGGACAGCACGATGCACCTTGTCACGGGGGTCCTTAGAGTGCTCTGCCGTGGGGTTTGTACCTCCAGTCGTCTGCATGCCACGGTGGTGGGCTGTGCGTTTGGGTGTCCTCTGGAAGCGGCTGACGATGATCTGAGGCATTATCGCGCGTGCCCCAAGTTGAAGGCAGGGTTGATTGACAGATTTCCCCGTGGTGGACTTCTGAGGTCTTGGACCGCGGCTCTAACGGGTGAGGATTGGCTCCTCGCTCTCTGTTGTCTGGGGCCACAGTGGGGGCGGTCACGTGACCTAGTGGGGTGTGCCCTAATTGATTGCTTTCTGGCCGCGCATAATGCTCGTCAGACTGGCTCGGTCCAGCAGGGGGAATTTCTTATTGAAGTCAGGCTTCGGCAGTTGTCACGTCGGCACCCCAAGCTTAATGAGGCGTTACGTGAGCTGCGTTTGAATACTGCTGCTGCCGCCCCTCCCCCTGCCCCCCCTGCTCCTCCTGCCGTGCCCCTCCTCTCCTGAGTTGGCCGTGTCCCCCATTTAAGTCCCCCTTTTCCCTGTGGCCCCCTAGGTATAGGTCCATGCATGACGCTGTCAGAGTTTGATGTGACCCTGGTGGGTCTCTCGGGTTGGCTGGCTGGTTTTCCGGGGTTTTTCTTTTTGTTGTGCTTTCCCTCTGCTCAGTTGCGTTTCTTGGTTAATTCCGGGCCCCGTGTCGTCGCCTGGGTTGCGGGCGCTGCTCAGTGCCCCTTGCGACCCTCACCGCTTGCAGGACGGGGGTGATGAGGTGCAGCTTCGGGCGTTCTTTAGGGGGAGGCACGCTGACAGTTGGGTTGGCCCGCACGCGTGAGAGAGTGCCTCTCTTGCCGCGCCGCCGCCCCCCAGCCTCTCTCCAGCCGCCCGCCCTGCGGCCGCTCCGCCTCTTTTGCCTGCCACGCCTCTCCTGCTGTCCTTGAGCTACCACAGGTTCTCGGACGGGCGGAACGGTCTGGTTCGTTCGGGCGTCGATCGATCGTCGCTCCTGTGGTGTTGGCAGGCCTTCCCGCGGCGCCAAGCCGTGGCGTTTGGTGAACATCCAGACACCCGGTGCGTCTGGCGCGGAGGAGGCCCCCCCCCTCCGCCGCGCCCTGCCGTCGCCCTCAGGTTCCTGACGAAGTTCGAGGCACCTCGGCAGCCGCTCCGCGCGAGGGAGCGTTCCCCTCTCGCCCTCAGTTTCCCGAAGAAGTTCGTGGCACTTTGGGGGCCAGCAGACTGGCATTCCCTCGGTTTGTTTGTTGGGTCGTCGTTTTGGGGCGTGCCCCATTTGTCTGCTTCTGCCTGCTGCGCCTTGGGTTGGGCCCTCGGTCAGCCGAGGAGTGAGTGCGGCCTGGGAAGGATGCTGGAGTGTGAGATCCCCTGTTGGACGGCGGGCATATGAAGGGGCGCGCGCCCGCCAGGGATCCTGTACACTCGGAGCAGAGTACCCGCCGCCGCTTCTCTTTGCCCTGCCCCTGCTGCTTCCCCTCTCTTGTCCTATGCATGCCTGATTGCACGGTGTCCAGTGCTCGCTGAGATGGACTCCTGACTGTTGGGGAAGACGTGGGTGTGCGCGATAGCGGTGGAAACAAATCCTCCTCCTCCCCCCCTCCTCCTCCTCCTCCTCCGCCTCCCCCTCCTCCTCCTCCTCCTCCTCCCTCCTCCTCCTCCTCCTCCTCCTCCTCCCCTCCTCCCCTCCTCCTCCTCCTCCTCCTCCTCTTCCTCCTCTCAAGCACATGTGGCTCGAGGCTTCTCCGTGCCCTTTTGGCTTCGGGCAGCTTCGACGTCGCGCCCCGCGCCTCCACGTTGGCGCTTGAGGGGCGCCTAGGCTGCAGCACCGCGCGCGCCGTTTTTCCGGGCGACGAAGTGGGGCGAAAGTTCCGAGCAGGCGGCCGCTCAGGGGTATTCAGACCTCCGGCGGGGCCTTGAGCCCTTCAGCCAGGTCTTTCTGAGTGCTTACCATTTTGTTCTTCTTGGTTCTACATCCAGTGGTCGAATCCTGCCATCATCTCCTACAGTGCTGGACTTGGCGCGCGCGCGTTTGGCGTGCAGGGGTCGGGTGCTCAGTGGCAGTTGAACGGCATGCGAGAGCTGAAGTGTGCACCGACCGTCATCGGCTACAACGGTTTCGCCAGCACGTGAGAGGCGAGCAATCAGAGGCAACGGGCTTTCGTTGCAAAGCTAGATGGGTAAGCGCGGAGCCAACTTCATCAGCTACAATGTTCGGATCAGTGCGTGCGAGAAGAACGCTTGGGGACAACAGGCAGGCATGTGAGACTAAGACGCGGTCCCTCGGCATGTTATTATTTTCTTTGCTGTCATGGGCCAGCGGTGGCAAAGGGCAGTGGCTGCAGCATACCAGTTCGTACTTCAATCTGTTCGGAAGAGAGGGAAGGTGGAGGCCCCGAGGCGCTGCCGTTGGCATCCTCGAAAACCCACAGGGAAGGTGGTGGCCTCGAGGCGCTGCTGCGGCATCCTCGAAAAACCAAAGTGCACGTTATCGTGCAAATGTGGTGCGGGAAAGCAGGCAGCGGCGTGAATTGGTAGCTACCAGTATCGGTGCGAGGATCAGTGCGAACGGTCCGTCGGCGCTTCCTCCCCTGCAATGCCGTAATGGACCAGCTGAGTCTCGATCTTGGGTCAAGCACGTGCGAGAACGGCGAGCAGTGGCAGCTAATCCTGTCGGGGAGTGGCTCGATGTGGGAGGCGATGTTAGCCCGACCGTTATCAGCTACAGTGCCGTGATCAGCAGGTGCGAGAACTCAGGCATTGCGGGCAGTGGCAGCTACCCGTAATGGAGCAAAGCTCAATAGCAGCGGTCCGTCGGCACGCCCTCTCCTGCAGCGCCGCAGCGGACCAGCTGAGTTTGTGCTTGGGCCAAGGCTCGTTTTTCATTCGCAGGACGTCGGCACAGTGTCTACGTTCTCTCATTTATTTGTGTGTGTATATTTCCCCGAGATACTGGTTTGGGTGCGAGAGGGAAGAAGCAACGCTTCGGTAGTTGTCTTACGAGGCTGTGTGTGGAGGAGGCGATCTGGATGACATACGTGAAAGGTTGCTCGATTATCTGTGACACAGTAGAGCCGTATCGAGCCGATTTCATTTCAGCCAAGTTTGCTTCAGTATCCTGGTGGGGTGAGGAATCCATCTGGGGCATGGTCGTCTTTGTTCGTCAACCTCAGGCTCTTTCAGCTCCCAGTCCTACTACTTCGGGCCTCCCTGGTTAAGTTCGCCATGATGCACTTCCTTGTTGTCGTGCCGCTCGGGGTGCTCAGGGGAGGACCGTTCTTCGTCGCCTTCCTGTTCGTCGGGTATTTCGACAAGTTCAGGGGGTGGCATCTAGTGAATATCGCACCGCGATAGAGCCCATTCCATTCCACTCCTCCTCTCCCTCCTCCTCCTCCTCCTCCCCCTCCCCCTCCTCCTCCTCCCCCTCCTCCTCGTTCTCCTCCTCCTCTTCCTCCTCCTCCTCCTCCTCCTCATCCTCCTCCTCCTCCTCCTCCTCCTCCTCCTCCTCCTCCTCCTCCTCCTCCTCCTCCTCCTCCTCCTCCTCCTCCCCCTCGCCCTCCTCCTCCTCCCCCTCCTCCTCCTCCTCCTCCTCCTCCTCCTCCTCCTGCCCCTCCATGAGGCCAGGGAGGCCGCCGTGGTCTCGACGGAGCTTCCTCCGATGCACGCACCCTTCGCCCCACGGTGTCGTGCCAGACCAGCTTGTGTGTTAGGCTGTGGTTAGGCTTCGGGTTGTGCCCAGATGGCCCCCTCGGATAGTCGCGGCTGGCCTCGAGATGTCCCCCGAGCACCTCAACACCTTGACCCTGGGGCGCGGAGCGCCGGACTGCTCGGGGGGCCTCTCGAGGCCAGCCGGGACTACCTGGGTGAGCTGTTTGTGCGCAGCCAGAAGCCTTGCCGCGGTGGTGTGCAACAGTCTCGCCCCCCCGTGAGTCTGAAGTGTAAGACGCCCTCCCAGTGCCTCCTGCGCTTCCGGGCCTACTCCTCGCCGGTGGACGTGTGGGCCGCGGGGCTGGTGCTGGCGGAGATGCTGCGGGGCAGCGCGCTCTTCTGCGGTTCCCCCCCCCCCGCAGCTCCATTTCGATCCGATCGCTCTGATTCGATATAACGATTTCGGATAGCCCGATCCGATTCGATCCCGATACTACGACGACCCAATGCAGGGCGATGCGCGCATGGCGTTATTGTGCATCCCAGCGCAGCCGATCCCATCCATTTCCAACTCCGTGCTGCTGCGGCCCGATCCCGCGCATGCTTCGATGCTCTCTCTCTCTCTCTCTCTCTCTGGTCGGGCTATAGCAGAGGACATCAGACTTCCGAGGGCTTGAAAGGGTCAATGGTGAGGCGTTCGATTGTGTTCGGCATCCACCGGCCTTCGTTGGGCCCTGGGATGAGACAACTTGCCCCAGAGAGAGGGTCGGGACTTCGATGACCACGTATTGAACAAGTCGAGACGTCGGATGCAATGGCAAGGACACCGATGCCGCTGCTCGTCCTGGAGAAGCTTCGCCGCCGCGGCCGGAGTTTGTCAGAAGTCCCCGTCGGAACGCACCCCAGGAGAGGCCCATGGGGAGGAGGAGGAGGAGGAGGAGGAGGAGGAGGAGGAGGAGGAGGAGGAGGAGGAAGAGGAGGTTAAGATAGAGGAGGAGTTCGAATAGTGCTGGAGGACGAAGAGGTTGGATAGAATAGTGGAGGAGGAGGAGGAAGAAGAGGTTAAGTGGAGGAGGAGGAGAAGGAGGAGGAGGCGGAGGAGTAGGTTGGCGGTGTTCGGGCGGTTGTTGAGTGCCGGAGGGGGGGATAGGGAAAGGGGGAGGTACGAAACCTGCTGCATGCAGCTGGTGTCGGCCCCGCCGCCCGGCCCACTCCTCGCGACGTGGGTGCTCTCTGGCGCCGGGAGGCGCCGGGAAAAGTAGCCAAGTGAGCGGATTCTCTACCTCACCTTTGCTACAGTCGGGGCCCTGAAGAAGGGGCCGAACGGTCATTCATTGTTTCTGGGTACGTGGCTGAAGTGAGAAACCGTGGTGAGAATTCTGCTTGTTGCATTGTTGTTGTTGCTGTTGCTGTTGCTGTTGCTGTTGCTGTTGGGCCCCTGGGAGAGTTCCCGAAGACGCCCAAGACAGGCCACGCGGGCCCTAACGATGGCCAAGAGACCCTCAAGAGGCTCCGGAGATGCCCAAGATTGCCCCAAGATAGCCTAAGAAGCCCCCAAGACGCCCTAAGAGCCTCAAAAAAGCCTCCGAAGTGGGCCCCGAAAGGTCAAAATCGTAGATTCTCCATTTTTTGTTCCCCACATCCTGAGTGGGGTTCTTGTTTTCCCAGAACATCCTCTCCTTCTCCCTCCCGCCTCCCGCCTCCCATATCAATACCACGCCTACCACTCCAGCCTCCCATGTCATACCATGCCTACCATTCCATACCATACCATACCATACCATACCTACCATACCATACCATACCCTCCAGGGAGGCCCCGCCTGAGCGAGGAGGGTATCGGAAACCCATCCTATTTACATGGTTTCGTGCCCTTCCCACCTCTCCAGGGAGGCCCCGCCTGAGCGAGAAGGGTATCGGAAACCCATGCTATTTACATGGTTTCGTGCCCCTCCCACCTCTCCAGGGAGGCCCCGCCCTAGCGAGGAGGGTATCGGACACCTAGACTATTTACATGGTTTCGTGCCCCTCCCACCTCTCCAGGGATGCCCCGCCTGAGCGAGGAGGGTATCAGGGAGGCCCCGCCTGAGCGAGGAGGGTATCGGAAACCCGTACTATTTGCATGGTGTCGTACCCCTTCCACCCCTCCAGGGAGGCCCCGCCTGAGCGAGGAGGGTATCGGAAACCAATACTATTTACATGGTTTCGTGCCCCTCCCACCCCTCCAGGGAGGCCCCGCCTGAGCGAGGAGGGTATCGGAAACCCGTACTATTTACATGGTTTCGTGCCCCTCCCACCCCTCCAGGGAGGCCCCGCCTGAGCGAGGAGGCTATCGGAAACCTATGCTATCTACATGGTTTCGTGCCCCTCCCCCCTTGAAGCGGGGCCCCACCAGAGCGGGGAGGGCATCAAGAAACCGTACTATTTTCAAGGCTTCGTTTCCTGAGCACTTGTCCTCCCTCCTCCTTTCTTCCGTCTGCCCTTTCGTGCGTACTTACTCGTTCGATGAGCTTCTCATTCGTGTTGATGTTGTCGTACCCCATGGGTCCCACGAGACTGTTAACATCTTTATGTGGGGAACTCCGTTAGCATAATTTTGCCGCCTCTTCACGTTGCCGACGCTCCAAGACAGCCGAAGAGGCCCCCCAGAGCGCCCCAAGACAGCCCAGGAGGGCCCCAAGACAGCCCCAAGACGGCCCCAAGACGGCTCTGGAGGGCCCCCAGACAGCCCAAGAGGCGCCCAAAAGGGCCCACAGGGCCCCGAGAAGGTCCCAAGAGTGGGCCCGGAGGGCGACCAAACATTCAAAAAGTCAAACTTTCCGCCCCGAGAGGGCCCCAGGAGGCCCAAAGAGGGCCCCACGAGTCCCCAAGAGACCTCCAAGAGGCTCCAAGCACGCCCCCAAGAGACCCCAAAAATGCCCCAAGAGGCCCCAAACCGGCTCCCCTATGAGACCTCAAACCTGCCGCCCAGAAGCCCCCGAGAGGCGCACCACGAGATCCAAACGAACACTCAAGAGGCCTCGGAGCCACAACCCTGGCACGGTGGCGGGATGGGCCGGAAGCCCCCGGCGGCCCCCAGAGCCCATCCGGAGGCTCCCAGGAAGCCTCACGAGGGCCTCCACAAGCCCCTAAGGAAGGCTCACCCTGCCCCGAAGGGACCCCCTGGGAGGCCCCAGGAGGCCCCCCGCTGGTGACAGGCGTGCCTGCTGTCCCACCCTGGAGGCCTCCAGACAGCCTTCGGGCAGGGCCGGACATCGCCTCAGCGGCCCAAGAAACCTCCTGGGTGAACCCTGGACGGCGCCAGTACGGCCCAGCACGCCCGTGAAACAAAAAACAGAATAGCCCGAGAGTCAGTCCAAGAAAGCTTTGCGACGTCCGAAGCCCGACACAAGACGGCGCGAAGACGCCGTGCCCCACGACGGCCATTACTTCCGACGATCTCGCATCTCTCGAACTGAAGCGTCGAGACATTAAGCCAATGTGGCATGAAGGCGCCCTGGCCTGCGCGAGAACCTAAACGCGCGCGTAGCGCGCGCGCGTGGATTTCGCGCATGTCATGCATGTATGTATGCATGAATGCATACATGCATGCATGCATGCATGCATGTATGTGTATGTGTAAGTCTGCTTGTTTGTATGCATGTATGTATGTATGCATGCATGTATGGATGGATGGATGGATGGATGGATGGATGGATGTATGTGTGTATGTGTGTATGTGTGTGTGCATGCATGCATGCATGCATGTATGTATGTATGTATGTATGTGTGTCTATGTATACATATAACGGCGCACCGGGTCCGGGGGCCCGGGGCCGGGACCCCGACCACAAATGTGGGCCCCGGGGGGCCCGGAGGCTCGTCGGACCGCCGGACGCCGTCCAAGATCGTTCGCAGGCGGCTTCGGAACGCGCTCCGATGGCTCCAGATGCCTTCCAAGACGCCTGTCATGACACCAAGAAGGTCCCAGAAGCCTCCAAGACGCTCCGAGAGGCAGCCCAAGAGAGGCCCAAGAAGCAAAAATCGTGCCATTCCGATGGGAAAACGTATATTTTTCGCATGTTCGCCTCTTGGGCTTTCACCGGGTCCAAGACGGCCCAAGAGGCGCCCAAGACGGTCTATGAGGCCTCAGGGAGCGCTCCAAGGCTGCGCATGAGTGGCCCAGGACGGCCCCAAGACGGCCGAAGAGAGCCCCAAGACGAGTTCGAGAGGGGTCCCAGACGGAGAAAACCAACCTCGAATTCCGAGCCAGGAGGCGCCAAAAGGCTCCCAAAAGCACCCCAAGACGTTCCGAGAGGCACCCCAAGGGAGGTCCAAGAAACAAAAATCGTGCCATTCCCATGGGAAAACGTATATTTTTCGCATGTTCGCATCTTGGGCTTTCACCGCGTCCAAGACGGCCCAAGAGGCCTCCAAGACGGCCTAGGAGGCCTCCGGGAGCGCTCCAAGGCTGCGCACGAGTGGCTCAGGACGGCCCCAAGACGGCCCAAGAGAACCCCAAGACGAGTTCGAGAGGGGTCCCAGAAGGAGAAAGCCACTCTCGAATTCCGATTGGCCCAACATATCCAAAGGCGCCAAAAGGCTTCCAAAATCAGCCCAAGACGTTCCGAGAGGCACCCCAAGAGAGGTCCAAGAAACAAAAATCGTGCCATTCCGATGGGAAAACGTATATTTTTCGCATGTTCGCATCTTGGGCTTTCACCGCGTCCAAGACGGCCCAAGAGGCCTCCAAGACCGCCCCAAGACGGCCCAAGAAGCTTCCAAGAGGGCCCCAGGACAGCCCAAGAGGGCCCCAAGACGGCCCAAGAGGCGCCCAAGATGGCCCAAGAGGGCCCCAAGACGGGCCCAAGAGGGGGCCCAGAGGGGGACCACGAACCGCAAGCTCGAGCCTTCCGCCCCAAGAGGCCGCCAGGAGGCCCCAAGGAGGCCCCTCAAGAGGCCCCAGGAGACCCCCAAGAGGCCCAAAGGAGGCCCCGAGAAGCCCCAAATCGGCCCCCAAAATGCTTCGAACCTGCTTCCAGGAGGCCCCCGACAGGTTCAGAGGCTCCCGAGAAGCTACGTCAAACTCCCAGCGAGCGGCCGGACGAGGCCCCCCACAAAATCACAAGAGGGTTCCAGTATTTGTATCCTTCAGCGCTCTCTGGCCTTCTTCCCCCTGCCCCCTTCCCTGCGACTTTCGTTGACTCAAGCTCGCCTCCTAGCTAGAACCTAAGCGCGCGCGAAGCGCGCGCGTGGTTCTAGTATGTATGTATGTATGTATGTATGCATGTATGTACGTATGTATGCATGCATGCATGCATGCATGCATGTATGTATGTATGTATGTATGTATGTATGTATGCATGTATGCATGTATGCATGTATGCATGTATGCATGTATGCATGTATGCATGTATGCATGTAT